TCAATTTGCACTGGCTACCAATAGCTGCTCGCATAAAATTCAAGGCATTAATGTTTGCCTACAAAACCACCACTGTATATATATATATAACAGTGGGTGTGGCGTCAGGCCTCGGAGAGGCTTTAATTAACAAAATAATATAAACAACAAAGTGTCCAGGCAAAAGGGGAATCTAGTGTCCAAAATAAAACAGGGGATCTGGTGTCCTCGTCGTGCTGCGGGCTTCGTGCAGGGAAGGGCAGTGATCAGGAAGGAAGGGTCCAGGTAAGGGGCGGAGTCCGGCAGCCACACGCGCTCCCCTCTCCAGTCCGGGACGCGAGGGGCGGCGGCTACTTCCAACGGCTGCATCCTTCTTGCCTTGGCCCCGGCGGGTGAAGGGTCTAGACGGCCCGGCATCCTGGCCCGACGGCCGTGTAACAGGTGCGGCTCTCGTCTGGACCGCGGGTCCGGTAGCTCGCATCTTCGGCTGCACGGAGATTCCTCTATGCACCCTTCCTGGAGCCACGAGGACACCAGCGTGCATGCACGGGGAAGAGACCGGTCTCCCGAGGAGAGGCGCGCTCGGCATTTAAACAGCGGCGGTGATGAGGCTCCATTTGGTTCAGGTGTGCCCCAGCACACGCCGCCAGCCCTGGCTGTTTTAGCGCCCCTCCTCTCTCACGCACCCACTCCTGTCGGGAGCCTGGCGAAGGGCGGCGCTTAAGGGACGGGGTGATGATGATAATTAGGGGGAGGCAGCCGACTCGTCACAGAGCGTACAAACTTATTCCAGAAGCGTACCCTCAAAAATGTAGGGCTCATTTGAAAAACCCCAGTCAAACATTTGTGGCGTTTGCGTGTGAGAAGACTACATTGTTTGAGAAATGGTGTGTAGCGAGCAAAGTCACTACTTTTGAGCAGTTAAAATAACTAATTTTGATGGAAGAGTTAAAAAACTGCGTTTTAGAAAAGGTGGTAGTTTATCTCAACAAACAAAAAGTTTCATCCTTAACTGAAGCTGCTGTAAATACACAAATAAGAGTGTAAACTTAGGGTTTACAAATACAGTGTAATATCTCATGATATGAACACTGGCAAACCCAAAATAAAAAAAAATATTAAAGTTTGGTCTAAATGATACAACGCAGTAAAAATCTTTGCATCTACTTTAGCTAATTGTTGCTTGCTAAAGACCCTGCTATTTCATTTATTCATCTTTAGGAAAATGCTAGAAATTGAAAATGACATTTAAAACAAAATCCCTGAGGAACCAATTTTTCACTGAATTGACATTGACAACTTTCACCTGTCCTAACTGGTGTTTGGTTGCACAGTACCTGGTAACAGTAAACCTGCCAAACCGGTTTTAAATGAACCCCTTCTGTTTACTGCACCACGAATGACAACCAACATATCTAAGTGGCACAACTCTTAGCTCAGATGTTCAGCTAGTGGAAAGGAAGTTAAAGTTTTCTGCCATGGGGTAAGAGCTTTTCAAACTAACCCCCATTTACTTCTGACCACTCCATTACAGGTGTAGATAGGGTAAAGAAAAGCAGAACGCCAGGGGTTGACATCCAACCTTTAGATACCAGGCTAATCCATCTATTCCAACCCCATTCTCTCCCTGAATTAACACCTTTTGACATCATTTTTAAAAATCTGCTGTCAAAGGAGTGTGGGATGTACAATACGGGGAGGATGAGGAGTAGAAGATGAAGAAAGAGCAACAGAGAGAGGGTGAGAATGGGTAGAGGAATCTCCTCTTAAGTCCTCAGCCTGTTATGATTAATGACCCAATGCACCTCAAAGTTCATAAACTTCCCAACCCGCTGATAGTTTATACAAGCTAAATGATTTATTTCCAGCGCATGCCAGACTGCTCATTCCATGTGACGGATATTTCCAGAGTCCTTGCTTGAGGTTGCATCTTGGCGTGAGATAGCAAGCCTTATGAGGGTAATATAGTAATAGAAACCCCCAATACATCTCTTAAGAGAACTTGTTAGAAGTCAGCTCAGATTTCACCTGATGTATGTGACAATTCCATGAAAAGATGGCACCATGTCACAGTTATGTGATAGACATAGTGTATGTAAAATAAAAGTATCCTATGACTAGTTATTAACTTTAGGTTGGGTGGCTTCCAACTATCAGAGCTATCTTCAGACTTGGAAACTCCTCTCCTTGTTTTCTGTCCTCTTTTTCTTCTCATTCTCCCCTTTCATCCTCTCCTCTCCTTGTTTCTCCTCTCCTCTCCTCTCCTCTCCTCTCCTCTCATCTCCTCTCCTCTCCTCTCCCATTCAATGACTGTTGGAGGAATCTGGCTCCTTCCCTTTTAAATGCATCCGATCGCTCCTCTCCATGCTGGAACCTGCGTCTGAGGGATCTCTCCAACACCTGTCACCCCAAACAGCAGCGTTTTCTGAGTGCGTTCTCCATCACTGTCACCCTCCCATCACCTGCCTACTTTACCTTATCCCCCTCTCCTTTCATTCATCAACATTTTAGGTGCTGCCTTTGACAAGGTCACATCTATTGCTTACCTCGTACATCATATTTATACTAGGGCACTGACAAACCCTGTGATATTGGACACCGTTTATTTGGCTATTTACATTCTAAGGTTGTACGTGGTCTAAGGAACATTGTTCAAAGGAAAGCACAGATGTATGCGGTGATTTTAAGGGAGAGTTTTACAGAGTTGAATGACTCTTGAAGGAAAAGGTTAACTGCCTGGTCAGATGGTGTTATGGTCTGACAAAGACTTTGACAGGCTATTTGTGTTTGGAAGTAGACTGACCTTCAGATACTTTTAGGCACAATTATCCAACTATTTGGATTTAGCTAACTCAATTAAGTCATCTTTACAGCTTCAACTTGGCCATTAAAGGTATAATTTTACAGTTCTGTACTCATTCTAACAGTTGTTTCCATTAGTGTGTTGAATTTATGCAGAAAATACAAATTACATAAAGGGCTTTCAAGGTCAAAAGCTAACTGGTAGCTTTAAAGCTATAAAAAAGACCACTCAGTTTGAAGAGTTACTCTTTAAAATGGCTTTGAACATCATTTGGTCGTTTTATATTATAATTATTGTGCATAATGTTTTTATGATAACATAATAACTGAAAGACTACATGGAATATTTGTATCATACCATTTAAACCATAATTGACTTAAAAGCTGAAGAAACCAGGTACAGCATCTAACTCAAACACTTTCCCTCATAGAAATACATATAAATCTTAACCTAATGTGTTCATTGTGTAGTATTTATCTTCCTAATCACTGCTGAGCTGTCAACTTGCTGCACAAAACACATATAATCTAAGACTAAAGGGATGGCCACAAGTACATGTTTAATTCCATTGACTTTCATTCACACGTATGCGAATGTGGGAGACCAGAAATGCAGGCTCATGCTAAGAAGTTTTGTATATCACTGCATTCCAAAGTTCAAGTTTGGTGAACTGTGCTCTGTGAATTTGTATCACACAATGTTTATCACAGACATAATGTATCAAATGGAAGGACAATAGTTGTTCATCTCCTTTGCTGAATTAAAGGAAACGTTAAACCTGAAACTTTGCATTCTCTAAGTTTAGTGTGACTGTGGCTTAAGTGTTACTGAATGCATTTTAAACAGATGCCCACTTGCAGCTGCCTGAAGAGCGACCTGACTATACAGCGCGGTACAATGAGTGGAATAATTAAATTGTAGAATATAATTCTGCAAAATGTTTGGTTCTAACAAAACACTCAATAGCTAACATGACATATCAGGGCACTCTTTATTTATTGTCTTAATGAAGTCTCCACTTAAAATAATTGGCTTGGCATGAATCACTCAGTGCTGATAGCATGAGCCTTTGTCCTAGTTATGATTTCCATTTTTGTTTTTTGATGAGTGTCGGAGGTCTGTGTGTAAAATAAGATCCCATGAGCCAATCATTTGCTCTCTGTGGAAAATATATGTATATGTAACTCAGCTCTGACAATGTATCTGAATAATAAACATTGTCGATTATATTTTTTGCCTTTATAGCACTGTCTGTGTTTTGGATTTGATTTTCCTTGTTTTACCCCTGTCGTAGTTCCTGGATTTCCTTATATGGTCATTTTCCTGTTCTTGTTTAGTTTGATTGCCTTATCCTATGCACCTGTGTTTCCCCAATTATCCCATGTATTTTAGTTCCTGTCTGTGCGTTTCTCCCCTGCCGGGTCTACTTTGTCCGTACATGCGTCATTCCTCGCTCCTGTGTTTGGATTACCCTTGTGTTTCGAGAATTAAAGGACTGTTGATTGTACTTCTTGTCTCCATCATTCCTCCGACAGTGTAAGTGTGACAGAAGACCCGACCGAAACAGTAAGCGGCTGTTCTCCCTGTTTGTTTTTTTCCGGTTTTGAAAGTGTTTTGGTTTTCCAAACACCCCCCCCGTGACCGTGACCGTGGAACGTGACTTCCCAGACACCACGGGACTAAGCTGGAGGGAAGGGATCCTCCGGTCCAGAGCTCGCTCCAGTGTCAGCTCCAGCCCCAGAGCTCGCTCCGGTGTCGGCTCCAGTCCCCGAGTTTAGCCCAGAGCGGGCTCCAGTCTCTGAGTTTAGCCCAGAGAGGGCTCCAGTCCCCGAGTTGACCCCAGAGTTTTCCAGTCCCCGAGTTTAGCCCAGAGAGGGCTCCAGTTCCCGAGTTTAGCCCAGAGAGGGCTCCAGTTCCCGAGT